AATAATAACAATAAAATGCATGGACTTACAAGTCTTGTGGGATGGATAAATTTTTTTTATTGTAGGCCTTTTTTATTTTATGTACTTTATTTAACATTTATTCATAATAAACTTTATTCGAATGTTGTCTACATCGCGTGCAACACAGTCCCGTAGCCTAGGACTATGGTTAACACTTAAACCACCAGAGGTCGCTGTATACCTAAAAGCGCCAGCGGGTTAAATTTACCCATGCACATGACTACTGTTTTGATATGGCTAAAATACCTATGTCACCGTATTATGCCACTGTCTTCACAATGTCTGGAGTCATAAAATTGTTATTTTTTAGTCATCAACTATGTTTTTGTCCTGTTGTTTTAAGTTCACGGCTATTTTTAAGCAGGTTACACTAATCACTTTTCTTAATGGTGAATATAAACCAGCCTGCAATGACAACGAGAATTACAAGGAAATAAATACATATTTGGGTGGTGTAATATTATAATAAAATGTTTTAAGATAACCCATGTTTTTTAAATTACTAAAATACCCTAAATAGACTATAATAAGCCATAATAATTCACCACACTGCATGTATGCACTAGGATGTATGATACAACGACAAATTCAATCGCACAGTTTCACCTAATCAATTATTTATTTGTTTAGTTATATAATTTATAATTTGAATAAGAGAACAACACCAATAAACTTGGGGTAATCATAAAAATTGTTTTATTCATTACATCATAATTCTGATTTTTTTTTTCAGGAATAAATAGCTAAGCAACACAGTAGAGAACAATAAACGACAAAAAAAATGTGCAAAACAAAAGTGAATAATTAATCCAAAGTCTGAACATTTATGAGTTGGCTAAAACATCTTAATTTGAACGTGCGTTGTGTGACTGTTTGCAGTAAGCTAACACGTTGCTCAATGACAGCGCGACAATAAAGGAATTATATGCGTAAATTTGACTCGATGGCGCTTATAGGTATAAATGCCCAGCTTTTGTTCTGGTTTTATCTAAACAATTTTTTTAAGAACAGGGGATTGTAAATAACACAATTTTAGTAAAAGTCAATGACTGTGAGTAAAAGTCAATGATATTCTTTATTGAAAACATATTATGTAGCCTACATTTGAAAAACAGCCATGGGTAAAATGACCCCGTGGCAGTTCTAGTGTTAATATAATAATTTAATAATGTAATAATTTTTTTTAATCTAAAATTTCTTAATTCAAAATAAAATATTAATAAATACATATCTGATAATCCCAGGTTGATATGGCCACGCGGGTTTGTTTACCCATTAAATTTATGAGAAATTTTAAGAATTTTAAAACAAAAAGAGCTTCATTTTTTAAAAACTTACAGTTACAGTCATTTCTTAATTTATGCCAGGAGTTATGTAAATGAAAAACGAAGTCGAGATCGATATGAAGCTTGAGTCGTAGACCTTTTTAATGATGTAAGTTAGTTTATGAAGTTAATTGCATTCTTTAACATTAAAACTAGCAGTAACTCTGAACTCATGTAAACAAAGAACGCTTCTGTGCGCTGGCGTCCTCCCACAGGTTAAGAGATTTTAAACAAACACATTTAGTTAACCAAATGAAACAATACACATTTTAATGCTATAAAAGTGTGCACATTGAGAGAAGTAAACAGCAGATGTTCATGTTAACAACTTCTTTAACTTGAGCAAACACTGCTAATACACATATACATTTGTTAATAAAGTTAATAAAACGAAAACATGCATGTTTTAATGCTAGAGAATAAAAGGAAACGATCCACCCGCATGCCTCTGCTCAACGATGGTGCCTGGATCAGTGAGCTGCGTCTCGGGCCGATGACGTCACTTCCAGGGAGGCATGCCCAGGCCTGTTGTACACGCCCCCGTCCCTTGACTCCACCCCCATGTCAAAACAGTGCCAGAAAGCAAGACGCGCAGAAACGTGAAGCGCAAAGGGAAAAACGGTATCGCAAGCTCAACCTTGACTGAAACGCAAAATAAAAGCAGTGTTGCAAATAAATTAGTAGATATGGCCATGGAAAATATGTATTGCAAAATCATTGCTTTTGTGCTGTTTCATTTATATTTTGCAATTCTTTATTTTTGTTTGCAAAAAACACATTTATTTTTTCTCAATACTTTTCTTTTCGTTTGCAAAACTTTATTTTCGTTTGCAAAACTTTATTTTCGTTTGCAAAACTTTATTTTCGTTTGCAAAACTTTATTTTCGTTTGCAAAACTTTATTTTCGTTTGCAAAACTTTATTTTCGTTTGCAAAACTTTATTTTCTTTTGCAAAACTTTATTATTTTGCATAAATATGTGGCATTATATTGACTCCATAGTAATAAATCCGAATGACAATACGCAATGCACGCATACAGAGCGTGTGATCTCTGCTATGCCCAGATGTACAAAACAGACCCTCCAAACATGGAGATGTTAGTTCCATCCGAATTGGTACATGAAAATCACAGATGTCGGGTGATACGAATCTAAAGTCATAAAATTAATAAAATTAAATTCATAAATTTATAAAATGAAGAGAGATTTCTGTCCCTCCATTGAAAGACCGTTTCACCAAAACTTTGACCACTCAAAAAGTTATAAAGACATTGTAAAACTAATCCATATGAATCAAGCATTTTAATCCAAATCTTCTGGAGAGATGCTATCATTTTATATGCTGAGCAGATATAATTTAGGCTTTTATTCAACGCACGCACATAGAGCTCATCAAATATGGTAAACGGAAGCACAAACTTGGGATTCTTGACGTGCAAGAACAAGTGAGGTTCTGTTTACCATCTTAGTTTCAAAGATATGTTTTGAAGATGAACAAAAGTCTTACACTGTGTCTACACCGAACGAGACTGTTGTTGCTTGCATCGCATCATGGCGCAACAGCTAGAGTCTGTCTACTCTGGACGTGATAAAACGACTTTTGCAAATCATTTGTCCTTTGTGTCATTATGTCATAAATAGAACTGGGCATCAGTTTACCGTCAGAGCACAGCATCTAGTGTAGAGAGTTTTTGTTTATAATAATTTGTATGGGTTTGGAATAACTTGAGGGTAATTGATGACAGAATTTTTGTTTTAGGATCTGTCTCCTTTAAGGTTGAACTAGGGCTGTCAAATTAGAAATCAAACTTCGAACATTAGTTAAATTAAAATATAAATGGCTCGTTTGGTTGCAAAAACTGTTTTCGGATTGAAAGATGTGTAGAAAGCACTGACAGCAAAGTTATTATATTAAAATATAATATATTATTAGGAAAAAATGCCACTTAAAGAAATAAAGCAGCATTAACAGTGTTTTTAGCAAAATATTGCCTTTAAAATGATCAAATCATAGTCAATAATATCGCAATGCATTTTTGAATTTGTCTGCAGTATGCTTCCTGTGTTCTTCAGTGAGAGTGAAATGCAGCTTATTGCTTGTGTGCATCCATCATGTTTTATAGTGGATTTTTTCAACTGTAAATGCAAACTCTTTCTGCCAAGCTGAAACTTACTTTGATTAAACCTTATTTCTCACACCTGCTTGTTTTTCTCTGCCAAAGTTTCTGTAATCAAATCTTGTAGAGTTTCGACTTTTTTCTCATTTTCATTGCATTTCTTTAGAGCATGTGTCTATATCTCCTGAGAATGATCAGGTGCAGGGAGCTGTGAGAGAGAGGAGCTCTGGAGAGTCAGTGTAGAAATGCTGGACTCAGTCTTGTGTAACTCTTCTCTGCTGTGCTGATTTGCTACATACCGCACAGGTAAAATCCCATTATGATAGACTACTAATCCTCACCTGCTGGCAGACTGCCTACTATCACTCTCGCTTGCTCTCTCTGTCTCACACAGTCTTTTTCTTTCTCTCTTCCATTCTTGCAATATCCCCAAGTGGTAAACTCTGGTTTACAATAGGATTAGAAACACCATCCGCAGTGGAATCCGTCAAGCTGAGTTGTTAGTGTTGCTGCCGGTGTGTTAATTGGCAGATAGATCACATGGGCAGCAGGAGGTACAAACAAGATAAGCTGTCTAAAATCTGAAGAATCTTTCATTGAGTCCCATGAGATGTTTCTTTATTGAGAGCCACAGATCTCATCTGTAAATATGACCACGAACTTCTCTTTCAGTAAATTTGTTTTAAAAAAATTTTTATACATGTGTAAGAATAGAGGTACATGGAAAAAGGATCCACATTCCTGTGTGCATGCATAAATAGGTGCATAACATGTATGAATGATTCATAGCTGATTCCAATAGCATTGCATTATTTATGTACAGTGTCGAGCAGCTGGTCGGCTCATCCGTGAGGATTGACGTTTGACTTGCAAGGTTGGGATGCAAAGGTCCAAAGTACTGATGCTCAGGGGGTTAAATTCCAAGGACCAGCGGCCCCCTGATCCCTCAAGTTCTTGCCCCAGAATTCACTCCACTAGGACATCTCACGCAGGCTCAAACAATAGAGCTCTGCTTCTTTCCTGAAAATAAAGCGGCATGCTTGAGTATCCAGTATGATGTGTTGGTGTTACCCAAGACCGAGTTTCATATTTCTGCTTCCTCATGGGGAAAATGCAGGTTGATGATGACTTTGTATTCGTAAAGCAGATGATCCTTTTCATCTGATTAATTTCGACCTGAATATATAAGCTTTATTTTAAATGTTACAGCTGTCCTAAGCCCTGATCTATGAAAGACATATGCTCAAAGTCAGAGGTTTATTTGTGCTTAAGAAGTCACTTAGTGTCTTTTTTCCCCTCATTTGGTCTGGGGAATACAGGACGAAGGCAGGGTGTGTAGATGTAGACCTGAACAGCAGGGGCTCGATTTGTGGAGTTTCGAGCTGCATCGGTAATGATCCTTCTCTCTCTTTTTTTTCTGTGCAGTTCTTAGGCTCTGCTGATGAACTCTCTTCAGTAAGGTAAGCTGTAGATATGTCTATAACCATGTGATTCATGTGCTTGCATTATCAGATTAACTGGATTTGCTTCTTTTGACCTTAACCTTTAAATAAAAAGGATCATGCATAAATGCTTGAAAATTAGTTTTGTAGACTAATATAAATTGTATATATGCTAGGGAAGCATGACATATCAGAACCATATTGGTTATCATATGATGCTTCATTTTATTTTAATTTTTTTCATGACTCTTTGATGAATAGCAAGGTTAGAAGAACAGCATTTATTTCAAATAGAAATCTTTTGTAGCAATTAAAAAGTCTTTACTGTCATCTTTGATCATTTTAATGCATCCTTGCTAAATAAAAGTAGAACGATAGTGTATGTTTTATTGCATATACTTCCATTACATATACTACCATTTTATGTTTAGAAATATATATATTTTTTAAAGTGCATGCTCATTTCCCCAATGAGCATGTACTTTGTTAAATTTCATCTTTAACATAATCTCATAATGAACATTAGAATTAACACTATGATATAATGTTGTGATGCATAAATTTACTTATATTTTTTATGCTTTAGAGAATATAATTTTGATATCAACCAGAATATTTATATTGGTGCATACTTATTATATGCGTATCATAAAGAAAAGAACAGGTTGTGACTATTTGGGACATGAATTCATTCAGAAATGGAGCGAGAACATGTTTTGCCATTCTAACACTAATAGGTTTAACTGCATTGAAAAAATAGATAGAAAAGCTCTAATAAAATACAGACACACAATGTAGAACAGACACACAATGTAGAACAGACACACAGTGAGCCACAGCAGTGGGAGGAGTAATCATAATGGGGGGAGCAGCCATCTATATCAAAGGTGCGCCATGGCATCCTTTGATACGTTCATGCTATAGCAGCATAAACTCCGGTCCCTTTGATACCTTCATGCAGTAGCAGCATAAACTCTTCCCTCCATCTCCGATTGCTCCCAGGCTGAATGGAAAATATCACATCTTCATTTTTTTCTGCTTTGAGGTGGTTTCATCTGTTCAAGCAACATCTTGTCTCTGTAGTCAGAGTTTGAAGTGTCTGCAGTGTAATAGAGGCACAGCATTCATGCGGAGATTGTTTAAATCCCTTCCGCTCATGTGTTGAAACGGTGTTGTGATGACCAAATTTCTCTCTCTTCAACCCCTCTCCACCTTTCTTCCCGTCCCTTCTCTTCTCATCGTCTTCCAACTACATCTGACACCTCTCTTACCCCGCTGAGGATGTCTGCTGTCTCTGCCTGCCAATCTGTTTCTTTACAGGAGAGGATGTGATTGAAAAAGACACATTTGTAAAGAAGGCTGTATCGTATGTTTAGCTTATTACTTTTGGTTTTCCAGCACTGTTTTTTCTCTCTCTCTTTTTTTTCTTTGTGCAGTAGCTGCTAATGTGGCTGTGTAATTTATGGTAGGTTTGGGCAGAGCTGTTTAATGCCCCTCTGCCATCGGCAGCCTACGTGAGCGCCTGCAGAGATTCATCTGTGAGGAGCATCTAAATATGAAACAAATGAAATGCAGCAGCAGGAAAAACAACATCAGGACTGATGATTAATGCGATTTACTCAGCCAGCAGACCTTTAAGTTTCCTCCACCAGTCCCTCGCTCTCTCGCTAACCGTGGGACAGATCTTGTGTTTTATATGGCCTCCCAGATGGGCGGCGAGTGTGAGCGCAGGTTGAAGGCTGCGGCTGGTAATTGCGGAACTGCAAATGGATTTCTGTAACACAAGCTGTAGTGCATTTAATGTAGTTTGATCCACATGCTCAATCACAGGCTGAAGGGTGACCTCCAGCACGGGGCCATTCTGTCTTTGTGTTTACCCAGGGCAGGGTCTCATCCCTCCCCTTTCCTTGTAGCCTCCGGCCCTCTGCCGCGCATCTCAACCAGAAGCCGGCGGTCATGTTAGCTCACGCGCTCTGACTCTGTCGCACCGAATCAGCTGCCAGTGAATGTGGATCTTCCTCATGTCTTGTCCCTATATTCATGACTGTGTACTTCTATTGTCTCCATATGGCAGTGTGCTAATAAGCAGATCTCATAGATGGGCTCGATGCCCAACGGGCTCATCTGTCCCAGTTTGCTAATGGCTTAACTGGATTAGCCGGTTCCCCACACGGGCTGATCAGAGCTCATAACGCTGATCACCTCCATTGATCCGATTGATCAGGACTCTGCCGATAAGAAAGCCACTGTGCTGTTCTTTTCCCTAACGTGTCCTGGGGGGATGCAGACACAGACTGTCGCTTCGCACATATGGGCCACCTGAGGATACAGGCGAGGTAATGGGGTGAATGAGGGGGAAAGAAGCTAAACTGAAGGCTGGTTTGAGACAGATGGAGTGAAACTGAACCTGAGACGCAGTGTCTGGTTATTGATGGGCACTTCCTGTCATCAGTATTGGTTGTCTTAAACCAACATACGGCCCTGTTACTAATCAGCTGAGATAAACTGCAAGCACACAATCAGTCCCGCATTGACCTGGCAATCTCTCATCCAAGATTTGTTTCGAAATATATAAATACGCTAATCAGTGCGTCTTGTAGAAGACAGCTGTTTGGGTTCTTCATCATTTCGTATTCTGCCATCGTTTGTGCTTCGGTTTCAAAACTTACTTAAAGTCCTTGCTAGTTTCTCTGCCCAATTTTGCTAATGAAGTGAGATTTTTAGAAGCTGGGATACAATCCAAATGAGACCTTTTCCCCTCACTGTGTTGTTGTTTTTTTTTTGTTTTTTTTATCTTCATCCCACCACCATTCTAAAATGAGACATTGTGCATCAAAACTTGCTCTCCTTGATGAGGCGCTCGCCAAATTCATTTCCTGCCTACTTTGATTGATTAATTTATGTTGTTAAATGGCTCCTTTGGTAATGGCTTTTCTGTATGGCATCCAAAGCAAGAGCCAAGCTAAAGCGCAGTCTGTCGCGGTCCCTTACGGCCAGAGCAGCTCTGTCTTTTCTGTTCGGTGTGGTTATTAGCTTGCAGTGTTACATCACCGGGGCTATGCCAGAGCTGACATCACTCAGCTGTGCCCTAATGGAAAAGGTTGGCTCTGTTTATTTTGTTTAAGTGCCGGTCAAGGCACTGTGTAGTTTTGACAAGTTGGATGCCTGCCTGCATTCAGCCATGGAAAGAAGGGACTACTCTAGTGTTTGGCTTCTCGTTCCCGTTGTATTTAAGCAGGTGGTGTCCATTTCGTTGATCAGCCTTTCAGGCTGTGTTATGGCTGGCTGTGCTCTTGTGGATCTTGGAGAGAAGGAAACCTGGATTAGGTCAGACTGGGTTCACACAAGTGACAGGTAATATTAATCAAGTCACTCTCATTCAGGGCCTCTTAGTTTGTTAGGTCAGTAGCACAGTATACTCATACATCAGCTTAATTAAGTTAAATAAAATTCATATAATTATTATACATGTAGAATTGTATATTTATTTCAGTATGATTTACCTATAAATGTCATACTCGCAGCATATGGAGTTGTTTGCCTGTGATCAGTAAATTGAAAGGTTCATCTGTGAGGAGCATCTAAATATGAAACAAAATGAAATGTTTATAATTGTATATTGTAATTATAATCGTGTATGTGTAATGAATATTATAATTGTATATTACCATTATTTTATATTATATTGATACTATAAATGTACAACAATACTATTTAATATTACAAAATGTTATGTTAATATTTTATAATATTAAATAAAATCATTTCAATATACATTTATACATTCCTATATGAAATCTTTCAATCATTAATCAATGAGAAATAGTATTACTGTAATATAGTGTTTTATTATTTTACAGACTAGAATGCTGTAATAGTTTACCCCATTATAAACAAAATGAAGTCAAACAACTTGATCTGGTAGTATGGAAATGGTTGCTGTTTATATTAAAAAAACAGTCGCTATTTTGAGTGGCTGTAAATCTTTTGTGTGTCTTTTTTTTTTATAAGTATTGAATAATGTCTAAACTAGGACTGTCAGCATGCAATTAATTTTACAATCCTTAATGCGTTAAAATAATTTAACGCAATTAACGCAAAATTACTGAAGCACAATTTCTATTCTAACCCTTTAACCCAATTTTGCTTCTCTGCTTGTGATTAGATCATTTTAAGCCGCTAAACTCCGGGAAAGTTTTCAGTCCAATGATCCAGTAAGCGAATGCATTCAAACAATCCGTCCAAAACAGCGCTAATATAAAGGAAACCAGGCTGATTACATCAGAGATTGCAGAGAGATGTCAACACATACCACCGCTGTATGGCCATATGAGACGCAAACTACGTTTTCTCGACTGGATAACCAGTCTCGCTAGTAAAGTTTTGATGGATGAAGACTGCAATCAAGGTAAAGACGATTGCGGTGGCGTACAGGAGTCGTACAGTACAGTAAGCACGAGTGAGTCCGTTATATTAATGCGTGTATGAGTGCTCTTGACGCACTGATCGCACATTGTATTTATGCACAGGCACAGTTAGGTCTTAAATTTCATATAAGGTGGTATTAAAAAGGTCTTTTATTAAATTTAAATTTTACTTGTTCAAGTCTGCAGAAACCCTGTATAATGTATTATATTTTTATAATGTGTTGTAACTCTTTACATTTTTGTGCGATTTCATTAGCTTCCTCCTTGTCATTCCAATTCAAATCGCAATTTAACAAATGGGCCAACTGCAATAAATTGTCAATTCAATTCATATTCTAACTCACGAATTGGTCAGGAGCCAGTTGTTAAATTCTGAATTTTAGCCAATTCTAGTAGCAACACCCTGGCAACCACCCAGAACCCCTTTAGCATCATGGCAGCAAACTTTACATGTGCAAGCACCACTTGCAACATATTAGCGTCTAGATTACACTGTACTCCAAGACCACACTGTACTTTATACCAGTCTTTTGCATTGTTTTCCTGCATTCTATGTAAATAGGATGCTTTGGGCAAGACTTCCTGCAGATG